GACCTGAAGCAGAGAGTGTTCAAAACACCCCCACATATCTCCATTAGTTGTGTAAGAGCCAATAATCAAATTTTAAAAGTACAGAGTGGGTAGTGTGTTGGTTGCTGAGTTGAGGAATATGTGTCCCTATCTGGAAGGCTGTGGGTTCAAATCCCATGGCTAGTAGAGTAATCCTATTTCTGTTGGTAAAGGAATGGCCCTTATAATAACTGGTCCAGGGAAACACTGACCCTGTCATCTGACTCCATGTTTACGGACTCTGCTAAAAAAAAACAAAAAAACGATTTTCTTACCATTCATACTGTATTTTATGCATCTTCCATCATGTCCCACTTTGCCTTCAATTACCTGAATAGAAAGTAACAAATAAATATATTTCACAATAAATGAAGGTTGCACTGCAATTCGTCCTGTTCTGAATGTTCCCTGCCTATGCTACACTGGGTTAGAAGATCGGTCGATAAAAGGCATCTTAGAAGGTCATGGCCATTTATAAGACCACTTCTCCATCCTATAAGAGTGAGCCCCACCTTTTCCTGTACCTAACCCCCACCTTGTCACATTTCTCACGCCCGTGCTGACCCTGAGGCATGGGCTGCTTTGCGTTTCCTTCCCAGAGACGCCTCGCCCTGTTTCCATTCCATTTCCATCTCTCGGTGCTGCCACACAAAGTTCCATCCTGTCCTAACATCCTATCCTCCACCGCCCTGGACTAGAGTCACTGACTCCCTCCTCTACTGCTGAACAAAGAGAACCTTCCCCCCTCCCTCCCCCACCCCACAGGGATCAATAAAGTTCTATCTTATCTTATCTTTATGTTACCTCTACAGTGTCTCTTAATCTGGGAGAAGGATAGCACCTTCCCCAGCAGGGGGGGGGGGGCACTGCCATGGCCTACTCCTGTACCCAGTCCCATGGGAGGCGGTTATCTCTGATTTGAATAAAAACTGAAGCTGGCCTCCAATTTCCCACAGTCTGCAAAGCAGCTCAGCCCTGCCATGTCAGTGCCAACCGTAATGAAGCTGTTTATTGTTAGATGTCATATTTTAAGCCAGGATTTTATTACTTTTCCCTTTGCTCATTTCAAGAAAGGAATTTTACGAAATTCACAAGTGTTGTTTCATGTATCTTGGGGGAATTTTTAATGGTTCTGCAATTTATTATGTTTTTGTATTCAGTTGACCATCAAATCAATAACACTTAACTGAGCTGTTTCTATTTTTACTAGCAGTTAGACTTTCTAGAAAGGACTTCATATATTACAAAGTGCAATACATTAGTTTGGCTTGTTTGGTTTAAAAAATATATATTTTTAAATTAACGCGTCTTACTCTGTTTTAGCTAGTTATCGGCTATTGTAACTTTAAAAATGAAACTATTTCTAAATTATATTTGAAGCAATTATACTAGTGCCCTAAAAATGAAGACATTTTATTTTATTTGAACTGTAAATACAATGTCTCTCTAAAAGAAAAAGAAACAAATAGTAGAGAAATAAAATAAATTTAGAAAATAAAATTTTATAGATTTAATCACACAACCTAATTAAGCTAGCCCAGAGGACCAGCCATGAAAACAAAGTTTGCTGAAAACAGAAAAGACCTAAAAACTATTTTGGATATGGGAAAACTTAAATTCTACAATTTTAGCTATTCATCAGCATCCAAATGAATAAAAAAGTATTTCAAAAAAGGCAAATTATTGCAGCATCAAAAATTATGTGGACTTTGTACTGGTCTGTTGTGGTGAAAAGAGAAATGAGTGGAAAGGCAAAGCTGTCGATTTGCAGGTTCATCTACGTTCCAACCCTCGCCTATGGTCACGAGCGCTGGGTAGTGACCGAAAGAATGAGATCACGGATACAAGCGGCAGGAATGAGCTTCCTTCGCAGGGTGTCTGGGCTCAGCCTTAGAGACGGGGTGAGGAGCTCAGACATTCGGGAGGGACTCAAAGTAGAGCCACTGTTCCTCCACATCAAAAGTAGCCAGCTGAGATCTGAGATGGGGAGGTGATTTCAGGCATGTCTAACAGGGAGGAAACCCTGGGGCAGACCCAGGACATCCTGGGGAGATTATAATTCTCAGCTGGCCTAGGAACGCCGCGGTATTCCCCCAGAGGAGCTGGAGGAGGTGGGTGGGGAGAGGGAGGTCTGGGCATCCCTGCTTAGACTGCTGCCCCCGTGACCCGACCCCGGATAAGCGGAGGACAATGGATAGACGGAGGGAAAAGTTTAAGTGAACTTATAGCATTAAAACATCAAACTTATTACAGAATAAAGTAATACATATAAGATTTTTTGAAACATTCTAGTAGAGTATGTGTACATCCTTAAAAATTATTTTTAAGTAGTAGAAATGAAGTTTTTCTTGTAAGATATTCAAGAAGATATTCGATGCTAGTTTTGACTCACCTTACCAAATGGAAGGCAGTAAAGCACCCCCTGGAGGACAGTAAATGTCACTACAACCTGTAGAGCTCCCCAGTCCCACAGTTTTGTAATTCCGCTGCCGAGTAACAGCCAGGGTTCTGAGGGAGGTCTGCATCCCTCCAGAATTAGCAGCAACGCCACAGTAAGAAACGTGCACAAAAGCAAAAGGACTGAAACACAAAGAGGCACAATCAGAAAGCAACACAGAATTTCCAAGAGAAATATTAGGAACACAGTATGCATTCCATATTATTGAATTAATATAAATTATTAAAATATGGTTGTACATGAACATATCCTGAACTCACAAGCATTGTTCCAGACATTGTGTTCTTCATTTTTTGGAGTAGGTCTGTTGTTTTTCACTCTTTCCAAGCTCTCTTTAGTGTTGGTGCAGTGAGGGACAGAGATCCCATTTGCCTTCAATAATAAGACCAAATTATATGATAACATTCAGGATTCAAACCCCAAACCTTGAAGGTATGAGGCAGTATGGCCAATCACAGAGCCACCATGCTGAGCCCTGACAGCTCATAATAAATTTTTATAATTATATTTGTTCATGCAGCATATGTACACTTACTCACGAACAGGGGTATTGGACTTTTAAACCAAGATATAAATTGTTAGTGGATGTTTTGACATGTGAAAATCCAAACATCAAAGGTTAATATAAAAATTAGGGATTGATATCTTGCCTCACCTGTTTTAAAGATGTCGACTCTTCCATTGCAAAAGAAAACGTAATGCCTTCCTAAAAACACAATGAAGTTCAAACATTTCATTCAAAGGAGAATGTATCGTGGCCACTTTATTAGGTACACATAGCGTGTACCAGACAGGACCCACATTAGCCTCCAGAACCATTTTAAGAGCAGGCAAGTTCAGAAACTTTTTTGCATTTCTCCATTGGCTGGCTGCTTCTTGTTCATTACATTATTCTCATTATTCTCACACCAGTAGTGGAGGAGGTGGGGTTCATCAGCCCCCGGGCTGGTCACGGCAGGAGGTCCACTGCAAAAGTTACCAAGGGGAAGCCCCCACTCCTTCCTGGACGGCAAATTTGACTGAGTGCCCCTTTTGTTGACTGATGATCACGCAAAATACACAACAATTTACTGAGAACCTTCCCCGCAGACCTAAGAGGCATTCCTGAACGCAAGTCGCGGTTTACAGGTGAGAAAAGTGTGGAAAGTACACTAAAGCTGTTTGTAACAAGTTTACCTTTAACAAATGTTATATTCTTGGAGTTGTGTCCAATTTTAATTTTGATTAAAAGTTTTAATAAGCTTTTTATAGTGCATGTATGTAACAACACGGTAAAGCTGGACATAATGTGACGTTTATTTAAGGTAATGAAATTTTAAGACTACCCAAAAACCACAGTATTGGCACAGATAATTTAATACTGTCTAATCTATTTCTCTTAATAGTAATCATCTGTTAGGCATAAACATATTTTTTAATTTATGTAGGCCCTGTTAGGGGAGCCGTTAACAATGGCAGCAGGTTCGAATATAAAAGATATAGACAAAGTAGGTCCTAAGAAACTTCTAGAAGAATCTAATGGCATTTAGTAGATCGTATTCAATTTTGATTATATTACATTTGGGCATCAACCACGACTGCATGTCTTTTCATTTCCTTTTAATAATGGATCAGAACAATATTGCAGTTTCTACGAACAAAATTGTATCAGAATATTATCAGTACTACATATAATACAATTTCTATATGCATTTCAAGAGACATTGATTTGTGTCTGAAAATGTGTTATTCATTTATTCATTCTAAAGATAAACCAACCCTGAATGGCAATCCACCGATATTCCTAATGCTGATGTCCGGATAATTATCTTAATGCCTGCACTCCATCAAAATCAACTCTTGGAAGTTTGCTCAAAAGCTGAAAAGTTTTCAAAGATCCGTATCTTTTGTCTCTTGCCTGCATGTTCGTTCACGCCACTGCAGACATGCATATTGACACTTACAGACATGAAGAAACAAACACAAGATTTCCCAAAAACAAAATACTAGTTGTCCAGTCATTACGTATTTGCTTACCTGCTGCTGATTGAGGTCCAGTGTTCCCAGGCGGTAATTTCAGTGCCTCTGTTTCAGGCGATACCAGATAGCACAAATGGCCCAGAGAGATATAGACTGCCCAGTTCACAACCATCAATTGATGCAACAACTGGTGCAAGAGATTGCTAAATGCTCAACGTTATACCACATTGACAGAGAGGAAAACATTGCCATTTGTGACATGGTTATTGTACTCATTTAGCCGTCCCATTATGAAAATGGAAGTTCCTTAAAAGTTACTGGTCTCCATACATTGATTGAAGTTAATTTCATGTGACACTGTAATTCTCAAAATCCAGTAGGCTATTATGTTCTTAACATAATTTTCCATACAATTTTATGATCTTTATTGAATATACACAGTATATAATGAATAGGATTGAGATGAACTTTCGCTGCGATAGTGGAAACATTGTAGCATTCAGACATTCAAAAAATTATAGAAATAATAAGGGACAAAAAACAAGACACTCAATCTTCTGAGATCTCAGGGTTAACGACAATATTTAATTGCCAGGAAAAAAACCAGAACAAACCAGAACTAGAAGTCACCCTTTTGCAGGAAACATGTGCATTTCCCACTGGTTAGAGAATGTTTGCATTAGAAATGGACAAAATAGCTACCAAGCAGTACGAGGCTCTGTAGGCAGTGGAACAGCACATTCAGAACACATCGACAGTCACACAGAACTGTACCTGTACAGTAACTGTACAGCAAAGTAAAACCTCATCCCACATAACAAAAAAATAAAATAAAGATATCATAGCAATGTGTCTTTCAGGGGTAGCAACAATTAGCTAGCTAGCGATACGATAGCAACAACTAAAAAAATGCATTACGATGAAGTGCGTGCAGGTGGAATTGCTCAAGTTCGGCTAAATTAAGTATGCGTTCACCTTACACGTTTCTTGTAAGACAAGTTTGGTCATCACCAAAAATAATGAAGTAATTACTTTGGATTTCATTTCTATTTTTTACATTTTGTTAATCGTTTACCAAAATGAGGACCAAAGTACACTAAACAAAAAGAATTTTGCTTACAACAGTCATCTCTTGCTGACAGCAAACTCACGTCATTGGTTTGAAGCTAGATAAATAAACATATCAAAGATATTGAAAGAAGAGCATACATTTAATTCCTTTTAGCCTTTTTTCCCAATCCAACAGCTCATATAATGTGTCGTCAAAAATTGTGTAAGACACTTATCAGAGCTACCCTGTTCAAGGAAGAGGAATTACTCTAACCAGTAAAGGTTGCAACACAAGTTTTCTAACTGTTCTCTTTTACACTTGGTCATCTAATTAGTGACAAAGGAACATAATTCATTTAAACCACAGAATAATTAGTAGAGTTAATAGTTTTAATAACAGATTTTCATATACAAACATGTGTCTCTGCCACTTCATTACTTCAGTGTTACTGTGAGTAAAATGCACACCGTAATACAAAAAAATCATACATGCTACAGATGAGTTGTATATTGTTAGAAGGAAAAATAAAGAAATAAAATATTTGTTCCTCATTACACTAAATGGTGAGATGTCATTCCTGCACTAATTGAAAAGTAAAGAGGATAATATCACATTTTAGGGGTAGCCAACAATGTGTATCAAAAAGATTGGAGTAGAAAGATTTAGTGGTTGATCTGGCTCTCTACTCAATTGCACATAGACCTACAGAACATACAGAGTACTCTTCTAGTTTACCACAAACATCTACGTTGACCAGGCAGGCTGAATTGTCACTTTATCACTACAACTTGCAAGACTGATTCATTTTCCTGTTGACTGTTTTCTGGTTTGTCATTAGAATACCTTCTAGTAAAACCAAGACGGTCTGAAATGTTTTGTCCTAAGAGGCTTGCTGGGGAAGTGGAGAAGATACACACCGTGCTTAGAATGATTGGTAAACATTGAGCATTGACTGTGCACATTTCCTGTCAGATTGGGGCGTCGCAAAGTGGCTGCCACAGTGCTAGACTCCCAGTCCAACAGAAAGTCAATGATTCAAGTGTAACATTTTGCAGGAGGAATGGTCAAGGAAAGAATGCAATGTGTACAGAATTCTGGTATGTAGCTGCGTTCAATTTGACTGAACAGCACTGTAAGTCCCTTTATATAAGCATAGCAGTCAAGAAAAGTTTACTTTGTATGCCATTATTATGTGTGTCACTCACATCATGCTTGGAAATCCAGGATTCACAGGTCTCGAAACATACTACATATTTGCTTTAATGAATATGACAGTTATTACACACAGACACTATTTCTTAAATTCCCTAAATGCAAACATTTAATTTAACAGTGTTGCTATATACAATATAGGATCTTAATATATTAAACATTTTGCTTCCTCTTTAACTCATTATCTTGATACATCTAGTCCTCTTTATTTATAGGGTATTCTGAATATGTACAATATAAATTACTACAGTCTGTTAGTTTAAAATAAATAAAGTACAACAGTCGTGGCTTTTGTGGTGTTTGAAAAGGAAACACTGTGGCCCGACCCAAAGCTCCAGGAAAGGATGGTAGTCTGTGCTTCATCCTGTAGTCTTTCTGAAGTATTAAGGACCAGACAGGAGGGCTTGGAGGAATGACACGGGGCGGGACACCATACTGATCGACAGCCGCCATTGGCTCGTGCTGCGCTCATGGGCCGAGTTCCGTATCCTAAGTCCACCAATCAGGAGCGGGGGAGGGGCATGTGATACGTACAGTGTTCTATCTCCAGCTATACCACAGTGCCACTGGGAGAGTTCCCATTCTGTGCTGTCAAGTTCTGGGGAGGTTACAAGCAAAGGGAAAGATAGTGAGACAGAGATACAGGGAGATACAGAAAGAGAGAGAGAAAAAGAGAGAGAGAGAGAGAGACACAGAGAGAGACAGAGAGAGAGACAGAGATACAGGGAGATACAGAAAGAGAGAGAGAAAAAGAGAGAGAGAGAGAGAGACAGACGCAAGAGCGGGAGAGAAGGAAAGTTATAAAGCTGTTCACATCCACTGTGAGAAATGAAGACGTTCCATCACGTAGACTGTCAGACTCACCGCTTTGCCAGGCCGCGCCCAGGTACAGATGAGGCCCTCCTGGCAGGCAGTGATGATGCAGTCGTCCATGAACACGAGCACAGTCAGTCGCTCGTGGGCGATCTTCTTGCACACCAGCGGCTCCAGCAGCGGAACCTCGTGCATACGCGGGCACAGCGTGGTGCCCAGGACCTTGGTGGCGTCCAGGCGGTTACTCCGTGGCGCCATGTTGATTTTGTCGTTGCTTTTGCTGATGTTGCCCAGGCTGTGGTAGCGCTTGTGCTCCTTCTCCGCCCCCCCGCTGCCCCCGCCCAACTTGTCCGACTTGCGCTCCTGCAAGGACAGCGTGGCGAAGCGGCCGATGCTGAAGGGAGTGATGCCGCTGCCTCCGCTGCCACCGCCGTCGGTGCCGCCCTGACCCTTGGAGGCGTTGGCAACTGCGGGGTGGGGCAAGGAGTTGGAGCGGGAGAGGGACCGGGGTAACGGGGGAGGCTGGTGAGGGTGAGTAGGATGAAGGTGGCCTTCCCCGGTTATACCGCCTCCACCTCCGCCCAACGTATTACTACCTCCGCTGACTGATGGCGGGATGGTGGTGCTGAAGGTGTTGGTGAGGGCGCGCGACAAGGGCAGGCGGGGGTACAGCACATCGTCTGTTAAATCCCACAGGCAGAATTGCGTATCCTGTCCGACTGAGCCGAAACGATAGGTGACGGAGGTCGTTCCGCCCTTGGAGCTATGCCGGGACAGGCGGGACAGCGTGCTGCTGGTGCGTACCCGGCCGAAGTGTGGCGCCCCCTGCAGGTCCTCCTCGCTGCCGCTCAGCTCTGTCGGCTCCTCGTCTTCCAGGCTGGTGGTGAAAGGATCGAAGGCTACCACGTTAACCCAGGACTTGTGGCCGTGGCCTCTGGCTACAACACGACTCTCGGCGAAGGACCAGACGGTCACCAGGTCGTCTTCACCGCCTGTAACCAGGTACTTGCCATCGGGACTCCAGGAGACGCACAGAAGTCCCCCAAAGTAGCTCTTCATGACACCCTGCAGTTCCATGGAGTCAAAGTGGAACACTCGCAGACATCCATCTTGGCCTACACATGCAACATGGACGCCATCAGGAGAGAAGGCAAATTCATTGAGTCCCCCTTCTCCCACCGCCCAACGAAGCAGCGGGTTGCGTGGCGTTTTCGTCTTGCAGGCGTAGACGGCAAAGCCGTCCCCCTGGCGCAGTAGGGAGTACTGGGGCGCAGCCGTGCCACAAGGGTGCTCCAGGTTGTACAGGTAGAGGTGCCCGCTGGCATGAGAGGCCAGGAAAAGTGTCTCCGATTTGGGCAGCCATTTCAGACATGTCACTTTGGACTTGTCTATTAACCTCTGGGCAGCCGATGTTCAGGGAGTGAGGAAGACAAAAAGTTAAGGTAAGCATCTGAGATACTTCACATCCAAGAATCCGCATTCATCCTCATGACTCTGACCATGAAAAGTGTTTAGAAGATGGATAGATGGATGGATGAAATTTGGATTTAATGGGTCATTTGATGGGAAATTAGGGTAATGTTCAAAAATCTGTGTGAAACTGTGTATGTTACAGTCACATAGATGGTTTAATTCCCCACTAAAGATTCCAGATTTTAAGTAGTATTTCAAAGTTCAATGCACTGAATTTATATGATTACCATAATAGAAGTATTTATGTGACAAATATCATTTCATATTTTTCCATATTCATTATACTGGATACTAGTATTTTAGTAGTACTTATTTCAAACAGTGAATCTTCTGAAATATGGCCCATTTAGTTGGCTTATAATGGAAAGCAAGTTAACCAACTTAATTTTGAGGTGCAATATATAGCGCATGTGCATTCTTTTGGAATTTGGAGATCTTCATAACATTCTTGTACAACATCCTGAGATAACTCAAAAGGTCCAAACCAATCAGAACCATATGGAATATGAATGAACAATTTACATGTAGATGAAGAACTAGCTATTAAATTATTTGACAAAGAACAGCACTGAAGACTTCCATTACAACTGTCAACATTAACATGTTATTTGTATATCAGCGATTCTCTGGACACTTAATCAGCCTCCTAGAAAAATCAGTTTTTCTGTGGTAGTGTTTCCCAATCCGGTCCTCGGAAACCCAGAGACAGTCCACGTCCAAGTCATGTGCCACTTAAAGTCATGGAAAACTGCAGTAACTGCCAAGAACATATTACCAAAAAAAGGTCCTTGCAGTTGCAATATAGTGACGTACAGTGGGGTGGACAAAATAACAGAAACATCTAACAAAACATCTGTCAAAGACCTGATGCGAAGCAGCACCAAGCCTTTGGCTTTCAGAATAGCTTCAATCCCTCTTGGGATGTCATGCAAATCCTGAACTTTTGTTTAGTGTGTGATGGGACCACTTTTCAAGCAGAAAAGCCTCTAGTTCTTTGAAGGACGAAGGAGGTGTGAGTCTCATTTGCACTCCGAGCTCCAGCAGTTACCATTTAAAGACGTTTAGATCTGGTGGCCAAGGATGTCACGGTGTTTTTTGAACACCAGAAACCACTCCTCAATTTAATAGTTTACACTGAGGCATTATAGTTTTGGAATATGGAAACATCTTGAGGGAATACAGATTGCACTACGACGCACCTTGCTCTGTAAAATGGCCTCATATTCACAGCATCATCTGACCATGTGACCCACACCGACACACGCTGTAGGTTGAAGGTATCTTCTGGCTTTCCATAACCGTCCCCCCCCCCCCCCCCGGATTTAGAGGAAGGAGTGAAATATGACTCATCAGGCCACAGTTTTTTCCAGTTACTCAGGGATCTTCATACCAGGCTACCCATCGTCAGGCATCGGTCCTTCATACAAACAGTTCCAAATGACGACCCGGCCACCAGATCCAGCTTTGTGGACCTCCCAGCATGCACTTCTGAGACTGCAGCAGAGCACTGATTTGCTTTTCTATTCATTTTTGATTCCGTACTATTGTGGTGTTAGCCACGTATTCCGTGATGTGTCTCTCCAGCTCATTCTGTTCCTATTCACTCCACATCCAGTCATGATTTCTGTGTCTGTTCTACTTGACAGATTAAATAATTTTGCAGTTACTGCACTCAATACACCAGCAATTCGGGCCCCTGTCTATTTGGCCTCTTCAGAACTCTATTGTCACATATGAAAGTGCTGATTTTCAGAGCTCTTTCATTGTCAACACATACTGCTAACTAGAGTCAAATCCAATATGACTCACCATTGTAGCCGTGATTTAATTGCCATTTAGTTACTGTAAATTTAATGTCCTTTTCACGTGATGTTTATTTTGTCCACCCTCTGTAAATCCTGTCTGAGATTTGCGCTACTGCAATGTCCCAGTTCTCCCACTTAGGAAGGCTTTATCACTTGGTAGAAATAACAATCACCTTTAGTGTATTACTATAGAGATTTGCATTGTGTTATTTTGCACTTTGCAGACCCTGTTATACAAAGAATTACTGTAGATGGTATACAGTTTTGCCATGTACCATATTATACACAAAAGGGTAATTTGGAGTCTTTCTGCATTAATCAACATCACTTGATTCACAGCATGAGTGTCTTTTTTTTAGCTTTTTAACCAAGCGTTTAAAGAAGCACGCCATGAAAATTACATCCTAGGTTTCCCCTATAAATATATCCTCTTATGTTCCCAATATGGTCAAACTGTTTTATTCTCCCTATTTTTTAACCCATTTAGTCTAACAGTCTGGAATGTTGAATTTATCACACTTCAGCACCCCCCCCCCATGCATGCTAAGCAAACACAGGAGGGGTGAAACCCACCAGCCACCTGCTTCCTATCGGTCTGGACGCTGCTGGCTTCATCCAGGCACTTAACACACTTGGAGGAAAACGCTATTCTCCTGATTCCACCCGCAAAGGACCCCAGGTGACAGCAGAGCAACAACAGGGCGAAGCACCCAGCTGTCTGTGCCCCCCCCCCCAACACGAGAGCAAAAACACTGCGTAACACCAAGCCATCGTCACATAGCCTATTGACCCTAAGTCTGACACTCCTCGATCTGCACTGGATGCTATCTGTGTGCACCGAGCATTAAGGACCATTTGCATTGCATGTAAATACCAGTCAGCATTTTCAGTCTTATTTATATTGTAAGGACACGTAAGGAATGTTATGTGTGAAAATGAAAATATCACTGCCAAAAAAACCCCCCAGTGCAACACATAAAATGTACTTGGCAAAATGAAGCTTTTAATCCTGAGTCTGCATTCCCACTGTACCATCGAGGGAAATAACTGCAGTGTTTTATATCATTTTATTCCTTAAAGGGACTAATACTAGATCAAAGACTTGTGAACATATTAGCCCAATTTTGGCATCACTTCACTGACTTCCAATTCAGTTCAGAATCTATTTTAGAATTTTATTAATCACTTTTTAGGCCTTGCATGATCTAGCTCCAGAGCATGGGTGAATCTCAATATGCGTACTTGACCATACTTATGTTCTTGTGTACCCGTTTTACGTCATCTTCCATTGCTGAAGAACAGTTCCAGTTCTAAGAACAGAAGTACAGACTGGTAAAAATCCCTGGATGCTGGTCTTGCTCCGCCTCAGATATCAAAGATACATCAGTTGCATCCTCGCCAAACAAGACCAATCCCATGATTCATTGCGCCTCACGTTCATTCTTGGAAGGCAAATTAGAAAGACCAGTCTGGTCAAGACCACAAGTATGGCCTTTGCCTTCTTGGTATTGAGATTCACCCTATGCATCTGAATTGCTAGAACGCTATCAAAACCGCTACACCTTTAAGATCATCTGACCAAGGTTTACTTGCCGTTCCAAAGTCCAGACTAAAAACCCAAGATGCTAAAGTATTTTCGGTGATATTATTCCTCTGCTGATTCTGCCTTTTATGATGTAAAATGCCACTTGGCTTGAAAAGTGCTTTACAAATAAAGGTATTATTATTATTATTATTGACGTTAATGCAATAATATAAGCACCAACACATGTGCTGAAGTAAAGATATGGCATGCCAACAGACACAGTGTGTAAATCTTTCACACAGAAACATACACGCACCTCCTCATTGAAAAGCTTGCTAGTCTCCTTTTTGATGGGGTCCAGGTATTGAACCTGGCCGGCAGAAAAGCCCACAATGAGCGACACACTGTCGGCAGTGGCTGAGTACTGATTGAAGTCATGGCAAGTGGGCTGGGTCCCCTTGTAGATGCGTTTGTCAATAGGCTTGCTGAGGTCAACAGCCTGTGGAGGGAAACAATGTACCAGTAAGATCACATGCATATTAACATCAGACAGTCCTCAAAAGCCCTCAATCAGAACATATGCAATTGATTTATCAAATTATGAATCTTGTGGTTCAGAGATTTGTGTTAGAGGACACAAGATTTTTACACGGCTTTTATATAGAAAACTGAAAATCTGCTAATACTGCACTGACCGCCTGTCCACTTCCATCTGATTATTTAATTGCTGTTATTGATCTGAACTGGTGAGGACCTGAATATTTGTATAATACAAAAATCGAACGATGCCTCCTTTGGCAATTTGGTACTTCTGAAAATATTTAGTTTTAGGGATTGAAGCCCATCTACAATGTCAACTGTCAAGCCCCCCAGTACAGTTTAGTTTGCAGAAAGACCAAAATAACATTAATAAAGGCAGATTCGATACAATAAGCAATTGAAAAACGCATATAAGATAACATAACAACCCATAAGGACTGGAGTGGGATTGAATTCTTTTGTATCTCTTACCTATTGATTTCTCACAGGACGCTTTTAAATGGTCAGATTTCCTGCCGTCGGGGATTTTACCCAAGTTCTTGCATACCGTGGCTGTTTGTCTCTTAGCAAAATGTCATTTGTATCGGTTGACCTTAATCGACTCTGTTAAAGATTATCACTAGCGAACGTATCAGTTTCACAATCTTTTTGCATAGGTCAAGGAGGGGACATCCCTTCCCACCGAAATCTGCGGGGATGGGTGACAAACAGCACGTCTGTACACTCACAAATACTGCCTTCTGATATCACACACATATTGGCAATCGCAGTTTTAAACACTACTTTGATCAGTACAAATATAACAAAAACGACTGCCTTCCACCCAAATTGCTCAGCATACGGCATCTAGACGCTTTAAGGCACAAGAAGTTACGTCACCGCGAAGGGTCAGTTCCCGCAGGACACGTTTTATTCTCTGTCAATTTCCCAGAGGCGATCGTTCATGCATGGCCATAATTAGCACGCCCCCGACCCAAAGCAATGCTCAGTGTCTTGTGCTGAATCATCTATCCATGCATAAAATATTGTTCAAATACACAATGGCTTCCCTTGTTCCAACAGATTTAAATAATAAGAGTATCAGGATATCTGGGGTTTACTTGCAGGATGCATCTAGCCAGTTATACATAGTGTGCTAACCAGGTAGCTGGCTAACACATTTTCCTCCTGTCAAGTTTGTCCTGCTGCTTCTCCGATCGTCTTACCTTCTTGATGTTCGTGTAGGTATAAAAATAAAGTTCCCTGCCGATATTGAAGCAAACTCGTTCCGATTCCTCACTGGGATCTTCTGGCTGAAGCTTCACCATAGACACCCGGACCGGGGGCAGGAAACCGGTCGGAGAGGAGTTGGCTGCGGCAGTGGCAGAGGAGGTAGCCCCGGGCCCCTGAACCGGCCCTCCGCCGCCACCACCGGGTACCGAACCCGGTCCGGCCCCGGGACCCACCGCGGCACTCGTGGACAGACCCCGTGGAATACCGCCCCGCTGCTGTGAGTCCGACAGGGTAAGCAGTTTGTAGAAACCCTCCCTTGTCCGGAATTGGGATTTAATCTCATTAATATCCTTTAGGGCGCCTCCATCACCGGCCATCTTTAATACAAACAAGCCGCACAGGAAACCGAGACCCTGACCTGGAAATAATGATCAAAAACTACAACAGCTATGGGAGGGTTTCGGCATGATGCTGGGATTCAGCCGCTCCAAATATTGCCGCTGGCGATGGATGCATTACACGTCCCATCGTTGTCCTTCATCCTGCTTCCCTGCGTGGACCATGTTGGATTTGCAGCAGCAGCAGAGGCGAGCAATGTTTCCGCTAAGGGACACCGGCAAGGCGCGTCACTGAGCAGCGTGTACGGCAGCCGGCGACACGCTCCCCTTCATCCCTGTAAAATACTGGGCTATTTTTGATCTGGGTGCACACTGGGTGTGAAGGGAGCAGTGCACTTTATATGCATCTGGCAATACAACAAAACCTTCAACATATATTCTAATACACGAATTTTGTACTTTTCTTCGCAAATATAAAAAAAAATCCAGAAGGGTAAAGTTATTGACCACTAAATCTAATGCGGGCTGTACTGATTTAAGAAAACGATAATCTGCGCATCGGAGTTGAATGACTGATTTAAAAAAGGTTTCCTTGTCATCTGTGTGCGTGCTGTGTGATTGCAATTTAGCTGAGTAATAACTTAATGAATTAGTATATAGTCCGGGTAACGCTAAATTAACATATGATAATGACCCAGCAATAATAATGAAATGCAATAAACCAATAAGTCATTCACCTGCGTACCGGTTTTGCTCCCCCCCCATTGTACATAACATTTTACCACAATTTACACCAAAAAATGCAATGTTAAATACATTGGGCCTTAGCAACACAGTTTTATTACATAACTAAATTAAATATACAGAGAAAATTACATGCCGCAAATAGCTACACTTAACATTAAACATTTAACTGAAATGTTTAGCTAGACAAGTATATTTGGAAAGAGCATTAAGCTCTCACGACTTAACGACTTTTTTCATGGTGTTATCTACAAGCAGCCAAGTCACAGATTCTTTTGTACACTTTTTGGGAAATGTTTCTTTTGCATAAATTTGTGTCAGAAACGCACAATAGTTGTAATAATATGTAGTTATATATTTCATATTTGGAAAAATGCTTACTCATCAAACAGAAAAGTTTGTGAGCTTTTTGAGTTACCACGCATTTTCTGGTGAAATCGGAGAGCATGGCAGGTACTTAAGGAAATCGGTGTTTAATAGGTGGAGTAGTATGTACCAGCAGACCACTTTAGTATCTTTTTGCAGCCTACTGATGTGCTGTGACGCATAAGGTTTATTTGTGCACATAATCAGAGTTGCGTAATTCATGTCCAGAGAGTAAAAGTCCAGACCTGGATTTTGTTTCAACCAACCAGTTGAGTACTCTATGACTGTGACTCTTTATACTCAACTGGTTGGTTGAAACAAAATCTTGGTCTGGATTTTTACTCTCTGGACCTGAATTACTCAGCTCTGAACATAATGTTACGCTGGTTAAATAGGATTCATATTTGGACTATGGATGAAGGTGCTTGGAATCAAGACATCACCCGAAATTATTATTACGGAAATGATTGTTATTAGTGGTGAAAAACCTGCTGAAAATAACCTTTGAAAACATTTAATTTATGTTACAATTCTTTTCTCTCTTTTTTGCTCCTTTCACAGCTTTTAAAAATTTCAGCTTTGTGCCTGTGTTTGTGAGAGTGAAATCACAAAGAAAAAAGAACTGTTTATGCAATGTCCAATTGGTTGTATTTTACACTGAAAATACCAGCATGTTTGATGAACTTCTCAGGTCTATGAGTTATTGGTTGGAAAGTCTTTTGATATGTGATGCTACCATTTCAAAAACCAAAAAAAAAAACATCTGAAATATAGAATAACTTTGGGTAGTAAATGAAGATGACAAAAAAAAATCTAGTTTGAACTTGACTTGGAGAATTGTCACCTCACAAGGGCTGGCAGAGTTTCTGGAATGTTCACAAGTCATAAAAGGGATGCAACTAATATAGATAAGCATGTCTCCCTATCCATATATTTTAGCTCAAGTACTTGGGACAAATGTCTCGGCAATCTCCAGGACATACAGATTACTGAGCCCCGACTGGTCTTCACATTGCCGTGTTTCCATGACAACCGTCCTGTGGGAAAATAATACAAAGACACCATTTGTCAATACTCACATACATAGAGCGACACTAGAAAGCCACCCAGTCTCAAAATGTGAGGGGTATGACTTTCTGTCTGCGCAATCCAAGTGATCTGTCACTGCTCATCTATCACACATGTTTTAATTGTAGGAGTGTGTGCAATTGCAGGAGAATTTATGTGCATATGGAGACACCTGTCAGATCCCACGAGACGGAAAGCCTTCTTGGGTTCTGTGATCTCCTGCAGGATGTCTGAGAAGCACTCTCCTCTTCGCTGCCACCCGTGTCTCCACATCGCTAGCAAGGTGTCTTCGAAAAACACTGCAAAAACATGAACATGTGTCAGTCAAATCTATCAGGCCGTCTCTGCAGCTGTGATGCTTCTCTCGAGCCTTCCCTGTCGATTTTTATCTACCATTTTCCAGGCAGGTCTACTCTCAATTTAATTTCTATACTTTTCATTGGGGAAGAGATCAAAATAAACATTGTATCTCCAGTCTGTTCTAATTACTGTTCAATCCATCTTTCCTGGGGTTCGTACCTACGGCCTCCACGCTGAAGGAGAAGTTTGTCTCAGTCTGCAGCTTGCATTGGCTCTTTGGGGTACCCTCAAGGCTCACAATATGTACAGTCTCTGTCCAAAAAAAACATCTCTTGCGTCATCCAAATGAAACAATTTATGCATCTCCTTCAACTGTCTTTTGTCATGTTATTCCACAGCTGTAAGTTCTCCACATTTACCCATAAGTCTCGCCTGACTATAAGCTATATTTGAGGCACATATTACCCCATTGATTTAAATAGTACTGAGAAGGATGACAGGTCACATGTCAGCAATGTGTAGCTGCAGAGTAAAGTAGAGTAAATGAGAATAACATGGTGCCACAAATCACCAGGTCTAATGAAGGAGATACAACTGTTAAACTGGGAATTCGCTGCTAAATCATGTTAACGATACACGTTTTTTGCAGAGCATAGGAATTCGAAATGGTGCCTTACTCTCTAGGAGCACTAGTAGGGTGCTGCAGTCCAATTGGTTGACCTGTACTATATCAGGACTGGAATTCCCTGGAGGAGTCAGACATAAGGGTGGGGAGGAAACAGGCATTATACGTTTTTAAAAAGACAGTACAAATAGATATATTACTTCTCTAGTATTTCAAGCGAATAGTTATAACAATAATCATGTTTGTTTGCTGTTCATGTATGCTCTTCATCCACAACAATTATACAGAAAGTAGAATAGACAGCTTTGTTGTTTGCTTTTCAGTATATAATATGCACATGTTTGACTGGGATGCCATTTTGCGTTCCTACAGGATTCCTGTTATCCTATAGTATATGTCTTAAGCTTCAGTAGTGGGACAGTAACCCTAAAAAGGCACTTATGACTTCACTAATGTTTAACTGAATATTTCTATCCAAACGTTTTTCATTAATGTTTATCCAGTTCAGGGTCCTGGAGATCATGAAGTGCAGGGGTGTCAGTCCTTCGAAGGACACATGCTCACACACAACGGACAATATTGAGCAGTGTTTCTCAACCTAAACCTCAGGGGCCCCCAAACAGTTTTTGCTCCCTCCCAGCTCCTGGTGTTCTGGTAGAAAACTGGGAGAGAGCAAAAACGTGGACTGTCTGGGAAGGAGTTGGGGGAAGGAAGAATGCTCATGGTAGTTTTACTTACACAAAAATGTTCTGAGGGCAGGACAAAAAATACTACAGGAGGTGGAGACAACCAATCAGAGGTCTGGGTCCCACCTCCTCTACAATCTGATTGTTATCTCTCTGAACCAATAATTTTTTTTGTTATGCCCTCAAAACATGTCTAAGTAAACTCCCACGAGCAGGAAAAACAGAATCTCCGAGAACCAGGTTGAGAAATACTTATATAGAGGGAATCAAAGTCTCTGGAGGACTAAAGATATTAGACAAACTGGAACTGTATATGTAACTCAAAAAGTATTAGATGAAATTATTTAATGATTTAAGTTGCTCGAGAGTCAGTGCTTGTTGTATAGTATATCTACTATTCCACTCAGTTAATATGTTGATTAGATTAATGTTTTGTTTGGCAAACTGGTGTCTCTAAGTTTCCCACATCATGTGAGAATTGGTGTGTATGTGCCCTATGCATCCCATTTATAGTGTACTGTATGCCCTGTTTTTCCTAGCATAGGCTCCAGGCCTATTATGACCATTTACTGCATATGTTATTGGCAGAGGGGTGGATAACTGGTGTTTGTTTGACTCCCTAGCTTCTTCAGTTACCAAGATATGGCAGTTTTGCATTGAAATACTGCTGCACGTTTCTACCTGCGCCAGTGTCTGTGAACCAGGAGGTATTGGAGTTGAGGTTGATGTTCTCCAGCTGCACGGGCTGGAATGGGTTCGGCCCCCTGGTCAGCCCGATGCAGACCAGCGGGTACTCCTGATCCGGAACGATCAGCATCTCAAACACCCGCAGAGGGCTGGGCAGCGGGAAGTCAAAATGCTGCAACACACACATATAGTGTAAGAATGTAGACTTACGGGGCTGCCAACTTTGGTCGGCTGGCTGGCGTGAGATTTTCCATTCGAGACAGTTCACCAAACACATTTACATGTATGTGACAGTTTTATTACCTTGTAATTAGTCTGTAGGGTTTACAAACTACCCCAACACTTTTGATGTAGCTGATTTTAAGTTTATAATGGAATAATATAAATTTGCTGTAAGATTTCTTGTGTGAGCATGAGAACGAGAAAGCGTGAGAGGTGGTAGCCCTGATCTTGTGCTGTAGACAGGTTGGGAAAATAAATGCTAAACTTAGAATTTCAATCATATTTTCAATCACATTATCATGCATTTAATTAAATTTAATTTCATTTAATTTTACACTGCATTACTTTTAATACCTTATTTTTATAATTTCAGTCATATAAAGTATGTTTGAAGTGTAAAAGTGTAAGCTATGTAAAAGACATTCAATAACTTTTTGTTAATTAGTGGAATCAAATGAGCTTGTGGGTTTGATCCACTTGTTAGATCGTTTAGGAGTATGAGGAGACAGCCAATAGGAGAGCTTATAGTTAATAAGGGGGTGGGGATAAAAGGAGTCACTGACCTTGATGAGCATGAACTTGTGCATGGGCTCATACCATTGCAGCAGCACCACACTGGACTCGAGGGCCCCACACAGGAAGATGCAGCCCTGCTGTGTGTTTTCACCTAAGAGGCAGAAAGTTGGTACATGCAGCAAAGAAATAAGGCTTGGAAATGTAACAAATTAATGTTGATTTTAAGGTCATAACATGTTATTATTTCCTTGCAATGGCAGAGCCTCCTAGTTTGACTTTCAGCGATGCAAATGCTATCGTTGTTTTCTCTTGGTTTGAGGGCTTCCATTGGATAAAATGGAAAAAACACATTTCACTGGAGTGTGATTCCCCTATACTCACCCACACGGCATGTCTTACAGCCCTTGGTGTCTGGGATTTTACTGCTTATGACACATTTCCTGGAATTACAAAGAAATATGTTGTTCATGGTTCTAAAGGAAATTAGAACTTCAGAAATCATTCTGGCATTAAATATCAAACCGACTATGTTTTTTCCCCAGAAGCTTTTACAGACATTAAATGAATGGGAGTACAAATTAATTTATAATTAAATGAACATCACCCAGTTTCATCAAAGAAATCCATCATTCAATTCTGATATTTGTACATACTTGTAAATGAACTAAAGTTGATCAATATCTGAATGCAGATCAATAATTACGATGCACATTTAGTGACAGAAGCAAACCAGAAAAAAACATTAAGTTAAAAAAAAAAAAGGATAAAGTTTTAGGGAATTAAAATGTGACTACCCCCACAGTCCAAATTATAATGACATGGAAAAAAAATCTGGGGAAAAAATTTTTTGCAATGAAATTAAACCAGGAAGCTTTTTACAGACAGAACAGGTAGAGTTACCTGGGCAGGAGTCTGTGCGTTGGCAAGGCCACGATACGGTGCTCCTTACGCGCCTGGTCATACAGCTCCTTCAGGGAGTGAGAGTGCAGCTGGGACGCCTTACCTGACGAAACATATAGACTTATGTGGCGTTTTCATCCAGACTGTCCAAAGCACGCGACAATTAGCATGACTGTCTTTTCATTCAGGATTAGCATCCATGTTAGGATCTGCTACTGGTTGACGTTAAAGCTGCAGATGGCTCACCTGATATCGACATGAGGACGTTGTTAATGGTATAGACCCAAGTGCACTTTCCAGGATAGAGCTGAGGAGATTAAAGAGAGGGCACAACCTTCAAATTCCAGCGCTCTGCGTTCTCCGATAACTCTCATGGGGGTGTTTCTCAATACCAAGAATGCAAAGATCGTACTTGTGGTCTTGCTAACTTGCCTCCCAAGAACAAACTTGGGGGGCAATGAATCTGGGGATTTGTCTAATTTGGTGAGGACACCACCAAAGTATCCTAGATATTTGGGGCAGGGCAAGAACAGCATTCAGGGGTTTTTACCGCTCTCTGTACTTCTGTTCTTAGTATTGTATCTTGTCTTTGGCAATGGAAGACGACATAAAACAGCTACGCCAGAACATGAGTATGATCAAGTACACATACTGAGAAACATCCAGATTCTACAGCGCTGTTCCACCTTCCCAGCGGCCATCTTACCAGCTCCATTGTGGCTTCCTGCCCATTCAAGTTGAGTGTGAAGATGCCCTCATCTGCTCCAAAGATGAGGTGATGATCTGAGAAAAATCAGAAAATAACAGGGAATGCATGACATGTCAGGAAAATCTTTTCCAGAAATAGCGATATTGCTCTGCAGACTGATTGGTTCGCTTACCTTTGGTTGTGGGATGATCCCATATGGTTGAGCAGTTGATCTTTAAAGGACACCCATGAAACACTTTTTTAAAGATTACCTGAAAAAGAAAGAAGAAGAAATGGTGAAATTCAACAAATCTGCTTGTGCAAGAGAAGCCTTTTCTTTTCTACTTCAATTTTCAGTAGGTTCCCCACCAAAAGCCATGTTATAATGACAATATTCCAAAAACATTATTTAACATGACTGCAGAATGGGGTTAGACACATTATTTCATATATAACTACTTAACGTTGCTGTGTGACTTATTATAACATCATTTAAAAAGAAATGCTCAGTCATAAACACAGAGTGCTTCTGCTTGTACAATGTATTGTACAGTATATCCACAATATAGTCGCTGAATGTATTTTAGATTCCTGCATCGATTTATCTAAATGGAAATTTAAGGGAGACTGACTTACTGGAGGTTTCTTCAGCGCTGTACTTGGTCCATCGCCTGGGACCTGGGAAAGCAAATATGTTTGTTACAAATCAATTGAAGAAATAAAAAAAAAAAAACACTTTACTTGAGGGGCCACAAATACTTATTAGTTACTCAGTTACTACTGAAGTACAAATCATGAACAAATATAGTCGCTACTTGAGATAAAAGATGCATCACGATTTATTAATGATGAACAAACAAGATCAGTATTTTATTTGCGTTATTCATTACTTGCTCCTTCAGTAGTTACTTTTTTTAGTTAACAAAGACTTACAGGATTTACAGTTTGTAGTTAATTACTACATAAGTATTAGCTTAATAGTACATTATTTGTGCCCCCTCAAGTACAGCGTTACCAGAATTTCTTCCTGTATCTCAAATTGTCCTGGTTGTGTTCTTCACATTTAATACCTGCTGGCACTGTCTCTGTCTCCTATCCTTCTTGGGGGGAAGGACAGGTGGCTGTTGGTCTGGGGGGCTGTCAATCATGTGACCAGCAAATGAGGTGGGGTCTGAATAATCAGTAAAACAAAAGATTACACTGTAAAATATTATTTTTTGTGATTGTAAATAAAGATAGTATAATTTAAGTACATTTTACAAACAAATTCTATTTTCTCTTTTTATTTGAAAATGTTACGTTTAATTCAATAAACTATTTGAGGTTTTGATGTAATTTATTGCACTTGAATACATAGTATTCAAATAGAGTAAACTCAAATGGAAATTCCCAAGCATTATTTACGTTGTATTTTGTCATTTAATGAACTAATGCAAAAATGGCAAACTCAAGTAAAGCTTACTCCACGAAGCCAGGCAATCTATGCGCATGCTCCCTTGGGTCAGAAGTGGCGCGCAGAAGCAAAGAAAACCAAAGGATGTTTTCTCGAAGAAGGTTTATACACGGTAAGTTATGAAATATTTGTTTATTGGTCAATTTAGTTACGGTTGCAGTAAAGTATAGAGCTATTAAGCTGTCCTGGTGGTTAAAGATTTAACCATAGACTGTAAGTTAACGCATTGATAGAGTTGAGTTTGCTAAACAACGGATTTGCACAAACATAAGTTATTAGCAAATAGCATCTGTGTCGAAAACAATTGTCTTGTATTTTACATGTAATCTACGGAGAACTTTAATGTACAGTCAACTTTGAAATTAACTTTGCCGGACGCGAGCGGAGCGGCGCGTCGTGACAAATGGCAATACAACCCAATTGCTTGTGTGTTCACCTGTGTGAATAAATAATCTATGAATTATAATATTAAGACCTGCTAAGGACCAGATTATTTTCTGTGGTGTCCTGATACATAAAACCTTAGAATTGAGAAACTTTATTTTTCACACGACTGCACCTATAAATAGTAAAACCAGAGAAACTGATCATTTTGCAGTTGTCTTAATTTTTTCAAGAGCTGTATGAACAGGACTTAAGTGACTCTACACTGAAAAAAAATTGGAGTAGGATTTACTTGAAAAAAGCTTGGAAATAATTTTCACTCAGAAAAGACAAGTAAAATTACAAAAATGTGCAAAGTAAAAACCACAACATAACTTAAGAATTAAAGTTTCTAAAAGTTGTTTACTTGGAAATTTCCAGTAATTAATTAATTAATTAATTAATTAATTAATTCTTAAGTTATGTTGTGGTTTTAATTTGCAAATTTTTGTAATTTCACTTGTCTTTTCTGAGTGAAAATTGTTTCTAAGCTTTTTTCAAGTAAATCCTACTCCAGATTTTTTTCAGTGTAGTTTTGTTGTATATAATTGTCTTTTATGAAGCTGATATAGACAGCACTGCTGCTGGACTGGTCACACCAAGTGACCCCTCTCCAATTCTTAGTGACTATAGAAATGCCTTTGCCCAAGATTTCATACAAGCAAGAGGTGCATCATACGTGAGTGTATTGTAAATAAATGTAAAATCTGCATCCTGTTATATAAGCAGTGTAAATATTTATAATACACTGCAATAATTAGATTAGATTTATAGATTCATAGATTAGATTAATACCTTACATACTCACAATCTTAAAATTTATATTTATTGTATGTTGTTGCTATGGTTGTTTGAGTTTGCACTGATCAGAAGTAGCAGTGTATTCATTATATGTGTGTCTATAAAGGTCATTCTATTCTATTCTATTCTATTCTATTCTATTCTTCCAGACTCAAACAGCTTCTTTCCCCAAGCTATTCATTTTTCCGCATCCGCATGTCCCATAACAGCCATACCCATGGCACCTGCACTTTCTAGATCTGTCACTGCACTTCATCAGTGTCTAACCACATATCATCCAGTTTTGCACTGTTTATTGCTTCGTGTGCCATTTGTATTGTCCTCTGCCATCTCATATTGTTTTACACTGTCTTGCATTGCTTTACACTGTCCTGTATTGTTTTACAGTATCGTATTGTTTTACACTGTCTCATATTGGTTTACACTGTCTATATTGTCTTGCACTGTCCTGTATTGTTTTACATTGTTTTGTATTGTTTTACACTGTCCTGCATTGTTTTACACTGTTTTGTATTGTTTTGCAATGTCCTTAGTCTCTCTTTAACTGATTAAACATTCCAATGCACCAATTGCATGTGGCCAATAAAGACTCTGGAATCAATATCCATTAATAGTACACTCAGTGACAAAAAAAAGTTAAGCACCCAGACAGAGTGGTGAAAGGTCATGTGACTGTATCACAATGATTATAATATCAGATCAAACGGACAGCAGAGTTGGCAGTATGGGCACACTGCTGGTCCCATGTCAGTAGGGTGTGGCCCCCCCCCCCCCCGGGCTTGCATACATGTGGCGAAATGGTGAAGAAGGGAGTCATACAGCAGTTGTATCCTCTCCTTCGGCAAGTCGGCCCACAGCTGTTGTAACTGGCCCTCGAGATCCTGCAGATTGGCATTCGGTCTGAGTTGACGTCCAAGCTGATCCCACACAAGTTAGATTGGGGAAAGATCGGGGGACCTGGCTGGGCACGGGAGGACCTCAACATGACGCAGGCCATCCACTGACACACATGCCATGTGGATGGGCATTGTCTTGTTGAAAGACTGTACCAGGGTGCTGTCTCAGGAGGGGTAAGACATGCAGACGCAGGATGTCACTGATGTAATGCTGTGCCATCAGGGTCCCCCAAATCACTACCAGAGATGACCTGAAGTCATACCCTATGGCTCCCCACACTATGATGTCATACCCTATGGCTCCCCACACCATGATGTCATACCCTATGACTCCCCACACCATGATGTCATACCCTATGGCTCCCCACACCATGATGCCAGGAGTAACACAGGTGTGTCTCAACAACATTGGCAGGATTGGTCCTCTCCTCTCGGAGCTGCCATACGTGCATGCGACAGTCATCCGTGGTAATGCAGAACCAAGATTCATTGCTGAACGTGGTACGATTCCATCGTCATCAGTCTATGCCTCCCGGTTATGACATCACTCCAAACACAGCCGTCTCTGTGCTTGTGTTAGCGGCAGACTATGCATGGGACGGCGAACCCATAGTCCATCTGATGCCAGTCGTCGAGACACGGACTGAGATGATACAGGGTGTTGTGGAGAGTCCAATACCTGTGTCCAAATGGTAGTGGCAGATGTCATGGGGTTCTGCGATCCTTGGTGCATAATATGACGATCCTGCCTTGGTGTGGTCTTGCGTGACCAGAACATTCACGATGTATGTGGGTGCCCTCATGTGCCCATTGGTTCCAACATTGGGTGACTGTGACATCTGCATGTCACACATGCCAGGCAATTGCACGAAATTGCCACACAGCCTCATGCAAACCCACAATTCAGCCCCTATCAATCTCCGGATGGTAATGCTGGTAATGCTCTGTAATGCATCTACGAGGCATCCTCTGTGTCTGCTGACTAGACATGCCAGCTCCTTGCAAATCGAATCGAATACCCATCGCTGGTCTACACGTGTACCAAATTACATCCAAATCGGACCATTACTTCTGGGTGCTTAACTGTTTTTGTCACTGAGTATATATGCCAAACCTATGTTCATAGTCAATACATTTTTTAAATCACATCACTTAGATTATATTAACAAACACGAATCACTTTCTTCCCTACTGATTGAGCTGTTTGTGTACTCACAGGACATAGCGTGAACTCTGCCTCCCTGATGCGCAAATACAAAGGAATAAAACACGATTTTTGGCAAAACATCTCATTCTAATGAATTGGTCAGTGTTGTAATACACAATGAAAGTGAAAGATCCCCCAGCACTATGCACGTCTGTGGGGTACTGAGCACGACCACACCGGGGTATCACAACAGGAACGCAGGGATACTGACCGGAGTTGACGTTGCGGACAGACCGCGGTCGAGGGACGGGGCGGGTGGGGGTGCTGCTTGAGCAGCGCACTAGGGGGGAGGGGGCGTACAGGGAGCACGGCGCTCCCCGCCCGCGACTGTCATCCCCGCTGACGCTCTCCTCCGAGCTCGTCCGCAGCTTCGGCTGACCAGGACACATGACGTACGCGTGTCACTACTGCCTCTCAGCAGTCGTTTCATTAAGAACAAAATTCCTAAGACATTACAAATCCTGTCCTTATATTTAGTCTGTAATACAGACGCTCCCCGCATTATGAAGGAGTTACGTTCCGATAAACCTATCGTAAGGTGATAATGCACCTAACCTAACAAACATCACAGCCTAGCCCAGGGGTGGCCAATCTTATCCGCAAAGGGCCGGTGTGTACGCAGGTTTTTGGGATAACCTGTAGGTCAGCTGTTGAAACCCAGGTGTGAGGACTCCTCAGCCAATCAGTCCTCTAATTAGTGACCTAATTAGGGAGTTGTAGCGAAAATCTGCATACACATCGGCCCTTTGCGGATAAGATTGGCCACCCCTGGCCCAGCCTAACCCACCTTAAACATGCTTAGAACACTTACATTAGCCTACAATTGGACAAAATCATTAACACAAAGGCTATTTTATAATAAAATGTTGAATATCTCATGTAATCAATTGAATATTGTACTGAAAGTGAAAAACATGGAATTGGAATACCCTTCGTAAAGTCGAAATATCGTAAGACAGACCATTGTAACCTGGGGAGCATCTGTACTTGATTATACTTCATTAGTAATACTCTAAACTGGCATAAGTACTATAATTATAATTATATAATTGCGTCTATAAAACATTAGGCTGGTAACCATAGTAAGCTAGTGCACTATTCCTCACTATTCCTCCTGTCAATGCATCCAGGTTTCCCATACATGCATTGATTATTCTGTGCTCTTCGAGTCGAGTCCCTTACTTTGGGAGGAAGTGGAGGCGGGACCTCATCTGCTGGCAAGGTTTCGCTGCAGAGGCAGAGAGAGCGAGAGTTAGGAGCCCAAGCAGCCGGAAGCTCTGATGGCATTTTATGGCACTGAGGCACCAGTCAATCTCACATTCATGTTTCACACAGCCAAGGTGATACTTTTACTTGATTTCACACATTCAAAGTGACATTGCTGACTTAACCCGTGATTCTCTTACTTAGTATAATAGTTTTTATAAAGGATCTTACCTATTGCTATAGTTACTAGGGCTGAGGAAACAGGAAAAGATGTAGACAATTAATCATACAATAAGGGTAAGAGACAGAGAGAGAGTTAAATGCAGAATAAAAGACTGGGTAGAACTCGTACATATCCACATCGTCGTAATCATCATCTGAATCCATACTCTCCTCCCTGTGAAGGGTATAAAACACACAGGAATCAGCAACAGTACTCAATGATCCGAAATGGTGTAAATGCTGCACTACCTACATTTTGTGTATCTGCTTATCCTTTCTAGATAATATGTTACAGCTGGAGCCAGCTAATGTGTACAGTCAATGAATCCTCAGCAGACTTGACATTTGTGAATATTAACTGCAGATGTCAAGAAAGAGCCCTAATATAGCCAACACAATATAGGGAGCTTGGAGTGTAGCATTGTGGGATAAGACTGGCACTGCCCAGAAGGTTGTGGGTTCCAAACTCAGTATATGACAGTGTAATTATATCACCACTGGGCCCTTTTACCCTTTAACTGTGGCAGGGTTACTTTCCTTTGTCCCTGTTATGTCACTTTCGACCAAAGCATCTGCTAACTGAACGTAAATCTCTGGAATGAATAGAAAAGCTGTGGTACAGCAATTCAAAGGCATCTTAGTACTAAAGTCTACTAATTGTATAAAGCTACCAGCTTTCCACCAGAAAATAATGGAAAGTCCTTTATAGACAGTAATTGTGGGAAGATATAATCATATAATGTTTGTTATTAATGTATATTAAAGCTGTTCTGGTATGTTAGGATGTTTAAAGTATACTCATATGCTGCTTATGAATGTTCTATGAATGCATTATGAAGGTGCAGTTAATGTAAATCATTACCATTTGTGATTTATAAAAGAAAATGTATTAATGTAAGCATAAGCTTATCCCTCTGAAGCAGGGGACACCCTGGATAGGATGCCAGTACATCAAAGGGCACAAATGCACACACATACAACAAATGGCCATGCAAAGACAGCACTGGAGCTAAATCGCATGTCTTTGGTCTGTGAGACACCAAGCCACCACATTGCATTGAAGATGTATAGATAGAATGGTGTCTTCAAACTGGCCACCGCGTGTATCCATGTGTGTGCGCGCAAATCGACTGGTATCCTGTTGAGGGTGTCTCACCTGCCGTGTGGCCTGTGTTTCCTTGGAGTAGGCTTCGTGTTGACTGTAACCCTGCAGTGAATATGTGGTTAGGGAAGGTTTATAGATACACCGAGTGTTGGCCTTTTCAGAATTAGCTGTTTATGGAATAGCCATTTCTATTTTAAAGTTGTGGCTTTTGCAGACCTGTTTTCTCTCCTGTGCGTCACCTCATCTCTGCCTGCAGAACTTGTTGACATGGCATCTCGCTTGTGCTGTACCTACGGTGCATGCAGAAAACAAGTAATGGCTACGCACGACAAAGAAGTCCACACGACGTGCAGGCAGCCCGCAGCAACCCAGAGACAAACAGAAAGGAACTTCCTCAGAACATAGACAAACTCACCGTTCCATCCAAACACTTTCTGTCTGGCTGCTGTTGCCCTGAAAACACAGACAGCAGGAAATGTTGGCTGGTTCACAAACAGATGGTAATGCCACAGTTTTAAAAAATAAAAAAGAAAGAGAAACATTACATTTAATAGGAAATGTTTTAAAAATGGTTGCAGACGGAATGTCTGACTGCAAGCTGCTGCCCTAAAAGCAGGAGACCCCAGACACTCACAGCTGCTGTCAGAATTGGTGCGTTCAGCTTTGCTGTGTCGATTTGTGGAGCGGATTCTTCTCAGGGATCCTGGTATGATGACCTACATATAGCAGAGGTAAAGCGCTAAGTCTTCCTACACTGTCAGAAAAAGTATCAATTTGTACCTTTGCGAGTACAATTACTCGTCACTGGGGTGTACCCTCAAGGGTCTGGCGATTGTACCGTGTAGTTGTGTTAAACGCAACGTTTAAGGTGCAGAATAGACTCAGTAACATTTTTGTACCATTGAGGGTACATTAATGTTGTTTGTACCATTGAGGGTACATTACTGATGTTTGTACCTTGGGGAACAAAACTGTACGCTAACCCTTTTTCTGAAAGTGCACATGGACGTCTTTTAACTAAATTGTTCTGAAAGTAACATTATTCAGTCCATTAATCTCTCTTTAACCACATATCCGGAAACAAAAGTCCTGGATAGCATGGTGGCTGTCCGGGAAACTTATGAAATTGGGCTATTTAGGAGAATTTTGGATCAACAATTTACTACAGGAAGAAACTGGAGTGCCCAAAGAAACCCTACACACCCGTGGTCACCCGCACTACACATAAATGTGTTAAGGGATCGGACTGTGTAGTTCAGTGTTTCCCAATCCGGTCCTCGGAGACCCAAAGACAGTCCACATTTTTGCTCCCTCCAGGTAAGGAGCTCAGAGGGAGCAAAAACATGGACCAACTGTGGGTCCCCGAGGACCGGCTTGGGAACCACTGGTGTAGTTCGATGTACCTCCATGTCCTCTTCCTCAGCCTGCAGGCAATCCTTAAGCCTTTCTGGATGCCGATGCTTCTCCAGTAGGTCCAGGGTCAGGGACTGGTTTAAACAGGTCTGAGAAAGAAAGCTATTCTGTGAATAGAGGCAGAAAGAGGAGGGTTATGGGATAGGTGAAGGAGAGACAAGGAGACCAAGAGCAAGGCACTTCATTTTAGGTTTTTGAAGATGATAGGGAATAGCAATAACAGGAAGAATGGACTCGTTTTCACCGTCAACAGCTTAGAGGCACTGGGCCTCTTCTTCGGGTTCCGGATGAGCATCATCTTGATGAAGTTATGAAATGCAGTTGACCTAAGAGAGAAGGTAACGGAGATTTATACCTCTGACAGATGGGTGATAAATGTACTCTCACACACCCTGTAATGGTGAACAAAAATGATTTCAGAGGCCCAGGTTACGATTTCTGGCAACATAATGATATAGTAAACATGAACAAAAGGAGAGTTAGGTTGTAGTGGAATGACCTGGTTTGTCATTGTTTAGAACTGCTAACATAATTCTGTTTAGCTTGGAACTGCAAAATCTGTATAGAATCCTGTGCTTCAGACTATTAGGCACACAAATTTAGAAGCTCTGGTACAGTGATTCCCAATCCAGTCCTCGGGGACCCACAGACGGTCCACATTTTTGCTCCCTCCCAGCTCCCTGCCTGACAATCCACAGTTTTGGGAGCTGGGAGGGAGCAAAAACGTGGACCGTCTGCGGGTCCACAAGAATCGGATTGGGAAACAACGCCGTAATACATTCTCCCAGGTTCAATTTTTTATGGGTCTAATTCCATTGTGAGTCAGAGGGCAGAAGATGGGGAGGGGGTGTTGCTTATAAAAATAGCACGGTTGGGGGGAGGGGGTTGAAGGAATTGCATTGAAAGTTTAGTTGTCAAGCTATAGATAGGAAATGTATATGAACACCGACTGGGTTCCTATCAAAGCTCTAAAGTAAAAGTAAAGTAAAAACAAAATCCTGCTTTAAAAGCTACATTATAAATGTGACACTGCAAGGGCTGTAAATCGCTTTGGTGAAAAGTGAGTGAAATATCCGTCGAGTGAAATATCCGTCTCTCACCACTTTGCTTTGTCCTTTAATTTCGGAGGCTGGTAGCCGCTCTTGGACATGAGAAACAGCACCCTGGGGATGGATGAGACTGTCAGTGATGCAAGCGTGCATCTCTCTGCAAGGCTGCGCTATCAAACATGCAGGGGAGCAGGGATGCCTGCTGCTGATGAGCGTCAAAATAAGTATGCAAAGGGAACAGTCTGTATATAAATAAACACGATTGTCTTCTTTCTTTGTGCTTTAATGTTAGTGTATGTCCATAAACAGCACTGTGTAATAAAGCAGCCAAAGAAAATATCATCTACCTGGGTAGTAAGTGTGTAAGTGTATTTGCTTAGAAAAAAAACAATTTAACATTGGAATACATGCAACTGAACAGTAACACAACAAAAAATACGAATTTCTTCTGTTCTCCAAAGTTACTGATATCTTGTTGGATGACTAGAAGATCACCACATTGGTTCCCAAATCTCTCCTCAGGGGCACCACAGACATTATATATGTTAAATTTCATCACCAGCTGAATTAGTTAAATAATTTGGTCAGCTACTGATTAACCAAACATGGTATGCTAGTGAGTGAGTATATTGGATGTTTACTGCAAATACTGTATTTGAAATACTGTGACAGATATAATATCATAGTCTAACCCCAGCATGAAGGTTATTTAAATCATTATCATCTTCCTAGACTTCTCCACAGTACTGTACACACATGTCACGGTATTCATGTCAGTATTCATGTCAGTTTGCCTTCCTGCGTAAACCAATGGGCTGCGACAGTGTGGGCTGGCTGCGGCTGGGTCATACCTGAGCGGGTGAACGTCAAACATGGGAGGCTGCAGCTCCGCCAGCTCGATGGCAGTGATGCCCACAGACCAAATGTCGCACAGCTCGTTGTAGCCGCCCTTGATCTCCACGGCGGCAACCTCTGGCGCCATCCTGTGGACGGGACCCAAACAGCACCTGCATCTCTGAACTTCAATAAATTCAGGCACGTAAAGTAATATCGTTTAACCTCCCCCAACATGTTTTTTAATCACCAATCAGGCATGTAGCCCAGTAGTAAAATTGTGAGTTTGAACCCCCTTAAAATTTGCTTTAGCCCCTTGTTGGTGAAATCAATGGATGGGGGGAGGGGGGGTCCTCGAATGGTGAATTCTACTGAGGTGGACAATCCCCCCCCAAGAGGGACCTGTCTTGACGGACCCCCCATGTATTTTTTTCTGCCTTGGGCCCGCTCTCATTCCCATACTTGTGGCAGCATTTCTCAGAGCCCACTGATTGGCTGGATTAGTGTAGAGAGCTCCTGCTCCATAAGCTCACCAGTACGGCGTTCCGATGAAGGACATGCGGCGAGCAAACGTGGCTGTGATCTGCGCGGAAATCCCGAAGTCCGCTGAACGGATGGAGGTGGGGAAAAAAACAGCAATTACTCTCAAAGTCACTTGAGTTACAGTGACACAGATAACTATGTGGTGTAATTCATGTGGTAATTAAACTTTGATAGATATCATGTGCTTATATTTCAAACTTCTTCATCAAAGCACTGTTCAGTAAGTCTTAAACACTCCAAGTCCATTGAAGTCTTAAACACTCCAGACATTGATGCTACAATAGGGACTAGCAACATACTGCAAAGATAAGCATGTAACACTGACAAGTGCTCTTGAAATGCCGATAGATCAAAATGCTGATATGTAGTTTTATAATTAGGTGTGCTGAAATAAGATAGCTCTAATATAGCTGTGGCTGATATGAGGTCAAAAAGAATAAAAAGAAAATAAGGCCATCTGGACCCTATTTAGTATGAAGGTTGTGCATCTCGCTGGTTAATAAATAGGATTGCAAACCAGTAACAGGTAGTCACCTAATATAGCAGGACCTTCGTAGACACAACTTACCAAGCTTCACTTCTCCTTGGTCATTCAGAAGAATATTTGCACCCTGGAAGATAAAGAAGTCAAGATGCATGGAGCCAGGTGCTCAGATTCTTAGCTGATAAACTACGCTTCCACGGTACTCCTATGTCCAAACCTCAGTGTATGTGGGGAGTGCGTGCGTGCGTCTCTGAGTTTGCATGTGAATGCAGAACACGTAGAACGACCAGCTTTCCTTCATGCTCTGTTGCATTTTGCAGAGAACGTGCGGTTATGTGCAATGGGCAATGATACGGAATGTGAAAAGGCTACAGTTTATTCATCTGGATAAAGAATGGGCGTGCCCTGCAAAAAGACACATGCTCCAATTTGCAGGTCTCCTCTCACTGCTGCAGCTCTGCTACCTGGTTGCATTTTCTAGTACAATCCTGTGGTGAGGATGTACCAAAGCCTGCTGGTGCATTATGAATGTGTGGGCAGGAAGGCAGAGCATGCGTGCAGTGCAGCAGCAATGCCGAAGTCCTTAAATCTGAGGCCTCGTGCGGCGTTACCTTAATGTCTCTGTGAATCTTCTTCTGTCCGTGCAGATATTCAAGACCCTGTTGAAATGATCGGAGGGGACAGATTGTAACAGTCAATCCTGACAGCCGGGTGGGATCCGTACGTACCCCTTGTTGGCAGAGGTGGAAATTTCCGGTCCGGAAAGTAAAGATCCAGACCAAGATTTTGTTCTAACCAACCAGCTGAGTACTCTGACACTGTGACTCTTTATACTCAACCGATTGGCTGAAACAAAATCTTGGCCTGGATTTTTACTTTCTGGACTGGAAATGTCCACCTCTGCTTGTTGGGATGTTCCCTACCGTTAGCATCTCTCTGCACACATAGGCAATTTGCTGCTCTGACAGAGGTCCAGTTACTGCAAAGAAAAGGCAACATTGGATGCTAAAATTATTACATTTTACAGATCCTGTTTATGTGATTTATTTATATCTGTATATCGCCTTTATCTTCTAGTCTGAATCCTGTGTTTCCCTGCTGGTCTCTCATGTCCCCTGACTGCTCTTAGTGTTGCACCTAGTCGTTTTTTATTCGAATAATTGTCATATTTGGTTCTTGCTATGTTTGAAATAAACATTCACTGGAAGCTCAGCCTAGCTGTCCAGCTGACTCATTGACTGCTATATATTTGTAATATGCAGTTCACCTCACTTGTTATGTGACTTTGGACAAATGTGTCTGCCAAATAAATACATTCATGTGCATCTGCATGCGGATTACAAAGATATTTGTGACTGCAGCAGAACAATTTACATGTGAGGAAGCTAACCATTTTACCCATTATAACCAGCCGTAACCATTTTACCCATTATAACCAGCCTGAACCCAGAGCAGGAGACATGCAGACGCCGCTGGGCAGTGGGCAGTGTGTGACAATCTAACACAGAGAGCCTGTTGATCTGAAGTATAACTACGAAGCCCCGTTACTCACTGTGGTAGATGTCTTGGAGAGAACCTCCACCACAATATTCCATACAAATCCATAGCTTGTTGGCCCTGGATCCAGACACAGTACAATAAGATATTAGTGTCTGGAAACTGATAAGTAACCAAAGTAGCTATATCAAATAACATGTCATGATATTTAATGGGGATATTAACTCAAGTCATGAGTAAAAATGAGGGCAGCATAGTCACTCAGTGGGTACCAGTCAGTTGGTACCAGTCAGTGGGTCTGGCGCATCCAGAGTTTGGGTTTTGAATCAACACACCATCTGGTGTGTAGAGTTTGCATGTTCTCCCTGTGTTCCATGGGTTCCCTTTGGGTTTTTGGGTTACCCCCCCCCCCCTCACCAGGCCAAAGACATGTAATTAGGCTAGAAGGCCATCTCAAAATTGCCCTGAAGTGTTCAATGTCCTTGTGCCCTGTGCATTCTGGGATAGGCATCAGCCTCCCTGTGACCGTAAACAGGACGGGCAGTTATAAAATGGATGGATTTATATCCATTGTTAAACAATCCACCTGTAACATCATCTAAATCCGAAACAGAATTCTCTATGTGCATGAAACTGTGTATAGCCCGCAAAACATAAAAAATGCATACTTTTATCTGAGCTCTATGAAACCAGCATACAATGAGGTTTAGTTTCTGCAAGGAAATGGGGTCACTCAGACATACGTCACCCTCATTTTGACTGGAAATCGTAGTGCCTTATCATCAATAATGTAAGACAATGCTTTTTTATATACAAACTTGTAGGTAATGAACAGTGTTTTCTAAGTATTAAACGTCAAAACTAATCAATTATCGCATGAATGCAGCTAATTTAGCCATTTTTCCAGTGGTGTATATGGAGCCCAAAGGCTTACTGTGGGCCACCAGGAATGAAGCCCTGGAGCTTCATGCCTCCAGGATTGTGGGTTTGATTCTTAAACTGACTGTGTGTTCGCAGTTTACATGATTACATGTATTCCTTGTGTTCATGTGTGATTCTACTGGGTCCCTCCCACATGCGTGTAGGTGAACTGGCATCCCTAAATTGTTTTAAATGTGTCTCTGTACATCTGTGCTTTTATAATTATTACATTGTGGGGGATTTCCCCACAGTGTGATAAAAATCTGTAACTTTTTACCTTGTGGGGACATTTTCTAGTACAATCCTAGAAGGTTATCCCTACAAGGATAACCTCAATTTTATTCAAATCTGTGATTGGAAAATCAATCTAAAAATGCCAAAAGTCTTGTGTTCTGTTTGGCTACTTATGGTTAAGGTTAGGGCTGGGTAGGGGTTAGGGTCGTCGTGTTATAATAAGATTTTTCCCCATAGAAATGAATGGAGAGTCCCCACAAAGATATAATTACAAATGTGTGTGTGCGTGTGTGTGTGTGTGACTTGCATCCCATCCAGGATGTACCCCTGCCTCATACCCTGTGGAGGTCTGGATGGAAGATATTGTGATTCTTGGGACTAAAACAGATCTACTGCATTATAAAATATATAGTGCGTTATTTTAATTTTTTGCTATACAGATTATTGAATTTATAATAGCTATATAATCCAGTGTTTTCCCAGTAAACGACTTTTATAATGACCCAGTGGGTAAACATACAAAGATTAAGTGAAAGTTATTCAATGATTCATCCATGTCTATTTATTTACCATTTGCAAGACATTTGCTTACATCTTTGGTGCAACAGCAATCAACAGGACATATAACATGATTGCTACAATTTCTGGTGCTGTTGTAGCAAAGAGTGTGTTTGTGAATGCAGGCACTTCAATGCACAGCACACAGTCTTTGATACTAGCACGATTTTTTACTCTGGTCATGTATACTACACCTCATCAGCGGAGCCTTACCGGATATAGCTACCAAAGTAAGCTACGATGTTGCGGTGCATGCAGCTCTTCACCATCACAATCTCCTGCTGGATCACCGAAAAGTCATCCTCTGTAGGGAACGTGCAGCAACATGGCATTAGAATAATAATAATAAAAAAAATCGATTCTTCAACCTAACTAGCCTAATTAATAATGAATGAATGAGCTGTAATAAAGCACAGTCAAGTTATTCATTAGCTATATCACTCATGTGGAAGATGTTTACTCATTTATTTGCTTCTCATGTGATGTGTATAAAATTCCCATCAGCGTGACAGTGCTTGTCCTATTTATACCACGTCTATATCATTGCAGCAGTATTACGTATTACAATGCTTTGGGTAATTTTGAAGAACTACTTCATCACATGTTGTCTTGTTTTTAACTTCGTTTGGTGTATTTGTTCTCTCCTGCACTGTTTTGTAATTCTAAGTGCTCACGAAACCTGGTTTCATGTCATTCTAACCCTTTCTCTGTGTCCCCCCCCCCCTACCCGGGCACATCATATCCTGTGACTCACACTTGTTCCCCGCTAACCCTCCCCCACAGCTAAAACACATACCTGTTATGAATGGTGTAAAGTGGGGGCAAAAGTGTATTTTGTAGGCAGCAGGTTTCATTGATACCATAAATGGCAGGGAAATCCCTTTTGCTCCTACGCCATTTTAAAAATCCACCAATCTCGTATGCAGCCTGTTCATTATACAATGCGTTGCCACTTCTGCAAGCAAAACATGTTTATCCTTCTATGGCCTTCATGCATACCCAGTGTATGACACTTTGTTGTTGCCTTTTTCTGTTTACTCTTTAAATATGGGGCCAGGGCTGGAAATTAAGCTCACCCCCCTGTCTAAGGTGAGTATGAAAAACTGAATGCTGGCTAGTAAAACAATTTCCATGTCGGACTGCAACAAAAAAGCACATTACGTTGCACATTTATCTCTTGGCACAGATATGTAGATCGCCGCCTGTCTAGACATTCAATTAGGCAATGATATGCACGGTGTCTTCTTGGCCAATCCCAGCTTTAGACTCTTCCCAGTTAACCAATCAGCTTGAACGGCCTGACCAACCAGTATTTGATGTTAGATTCTTCATTTTTCAGAGTGAAAAATTTGTAGGGATGTTGGCAAGCTAGAGTTAATGCATACTTTTTTACTCAACCCCCCTCACCAAAGTGTCCTGATGTAAACTTAAAAAATACATGCAGATGCGAGAGTGAATGAGTAAATTCTGAAAATTAATAAAATGTTTACTGAAAATGATATTTACACTGAAATTTAATATTGTAAAACGTGATGGCCTTTAGTTGCTCTTTATGGTTGAAAATTACATTGTGAAGATTTATCTTATAGATTTATCTATAAGGGTATGGGACACTTCTGTGGTGATATGGGGGTGAATTGCGGGTGATATATCGGAAAATGTTAAAAAAAAAAAAAAGACATAATTATCGGCTCATCAGATGACACCGAAAATGAGCTCTAACTGTAAGGGTAGAAAAGAATGAGCTACACATCTCAGGTAGTTTGACTGAGCTTAACAAAAGCTATGAATTAAGCCTGAATTACCCATATGCCTCAGTGCGTTACAGTATGAGTATTTTCAGTTTTATGTATAATGTGGTTAGTACATTGTTATGTGTTACAGGAATTAAGCAATGAAAAAAGTACACCCCTGATATTCAGCTTGTTACTACATAAGCTTATTTGTAAATTGATTCCCCTTGCCTTTAGGAGAATGAATATAAAACTGCAATGTTTTTTAAGGTCCAACAAGTCAGTTTACACAGAAGTAGTCTACCATCTCATCTTTCCACTGGCAGACAGTATTAACTTTTTTAAACATGAAAGTCCAGACAAAATATTTGTTTCAACCAACAGAGTCACAGTCACAGAGTATTCAACTGGTTGGTTGAAACAAAATCTTAATCTTTCTGAACCTGAAATGTCCACCTTTGGTCATTTGGGTGTCTCTCTGCAATCCAAAGTCATGGTGTTAAACGGATTCATATAATAAATAATATTGTGAGTATATGTGTCCTGTGGTGTATGTTCCCTGGAATAGGCACCAGGCCTCCCCTGACCAAGATCAGTGGTTGGAAGATTAGTAAATAATAAGCATACATTAAATTTCTATTATATATTCAGTTTATCTGAACCAGAAAGGCCTGCAGAAAGGTTAGCCACAATGACAATGTGTTTTTTACAGACACATCTGTCTCTAGGCATACCTTATTTATACCTTATGTACAGTATACCTTTGTGCCCAGATGCGTACCTTACTGAGTCTGTGGAAATTAACTGTTAACATGTCAGAAAAAATCTATCTGAACATAACCCCCAAGTACTATCCAGATGAACACTGTCTTGATATCATACTCGCAGTATTTCTGAACCATTCCCTGAGATTACATATATTTTTGAATGTTGTAATATTCTAATTGTATTCAAATGATTATTCCATAGTTAGCCTACGATCTGTGCAACGGTGGCCCACAAGAGAACGAGACACACCTGGTTCCATCTTGATGATCTTGAGAGCAGCCATTTCTCTATTCTGCTTGTTCCGTGCCTGAAATCACAGGGTGACAAGATTCTCTCAGTGTCTTTGCATTACATAAATCAGGGACACTCTACCCTTCAACATTTTCCTGCTCTCCTTCTCATGTTCCTTATGAGCAACTGTAAAAATTAATAGCTATAGGAACTATATATCTTTTTGTTCAACTTTACATTTTAAATTATATGGAAGAAAATAATAAAATTACCATAACAATGACAATGACATTTTATTGATCCCCATGGGGAAATTCTCCTTTCACCTGCTCCATCTTACTCTCCATGATACACAGACACATATGTTGTAGTACCTATGGAGCTCGGGATTAAGGGCCCACAGACGTGTAACTATTCTGCTAAGCTTCTATAAAACTATCCTGTATTGTCCAGTAGTTTTGTGTTTCCTGTTTTAACTGTAACTAGTCCGAGGCTGGACACTGAGCTGTTTATTGCTGTAAGGGTTTACTCTTGATTCTAATCCTGATTAGAAGCTGGACACTGTAACACTGGTGAAATTTGAAAGCTTTTAGTGTAACGCATTAGAATATATAAAATTAGTTCATATACTCTATTGAATTGAATGACCTAGAAATTTTGCCCCCCCACCCAATTGTATGTATTATTTCTCATATTTAGGGGCCCCTATCAAGTGCTGGGCCCCCTGAATCTTCCAAGGTATCTATGCCCCTCCAATGCCCTGTGGGTAAAAAAATTAATAAGTGAAAATGATTGATTATGACATAATTGCTGATTTATTGTAGCATTAACTGTAGCATAACTAGATCAGGTATTATAATGCATTAATGTTTTGTTCATTACTGATTATATCCCCAATAAATCTGCCCAACTGATTTACCGGCACTGATCCCGTCCCCAAGTTGGTAAGTAATATCGAATGCCCCCACCCCAGTCGGGAGTTCTTATTGCCTGGACTGATTAACAAATTATTGGCTTAGCATTTTCAATTCTCTCTCGCTTCTAAATATAACTGCACCCACCCCCCCACCCCCAACTGGCAACCCCAATTAAAAAGGTGTCACTGTGTATACGATCAGAAATAGCCGGTAAATAATAATGAAAGTGCTTCGGAAAAGACCACTCCTTGTCCCACCGCCCTCCTTGTGGAACTTTCTGACTTGGAACGTCCTTTACTGAACACCACAATCCACCCACTGCGGACTCCATACCTCTAAACATAGAGCAAACAACGTACTAAGTGACAAACATGGTGTCCACAATGAAAAAATGAGTTAACAGTAAGGTGCCCTACTTAGAACATATCTGAATTCTGTTCTTAATAATCAGCAACGACCTTGCATTTCTAGAAATTTACGCTGTGGTGTTTGTTATGCAAAATATAAATACTGTAGTCATTTCCAAACAGTGCATTATTACTGTTTATCGTATTAAAAGCTAAAGACTTTTTACACTCTAAATTCATAGGGTTGAGCCACTGATAAAGTCAATAACTGACAGCAATTAAATGTATACAGATTAGTCATAATAAGTGCCTGTCATCATATTTTGTCTGTTTTTCTTACAATGTGAGACAACACAGGTTATTAATAGCCTGTGGACCCTCATATATAAACAGCGGAAAGTTTATGCAGAGGGTGACGGTGGTTGGGATCCAGAGTATGAAGATGTAAAGGTCAACAAACAAACAAGTACTATTTGCCATGATGTGGAGCCTGTTTAAACCATCGTGGTTTCCTCTGCAATAACATCAGAGCTACGCAGTACTGTGTTGTCAAGTATTTGGTGTGAGTTTAGCAAGAGACGTGGCACTTTGACCCTGAAAGTATTTATCATCCATGTTTGTTGCTCAGAGCAAATGCAGGTATCCAAATATGTCTAGTGAATTTTTGAACGATGCAAAGAGGGCTGCAGGAAAATAAAGGAAGAATCATCACAGTTGTACCGTAGAAATTCCCTGTGCTGTGTCCTATGTGGCAGGTGCAGGTCGTTAATCAAAGTGATGTCATTTTCTTTTGGTAGTCCATATTTGGCTTTCCATACTACATCGGTATCCTGTAACCCAGTGGTTCTCGACCTTTTTTGCACTGGAACCCATTTTTTACCATGCCGGCTCAGTCACAACCCTATATCGAGAATAGGTTTACATTAACGCTAAGATCAAGTGTGCAGTTCAATCTGCAATTTACACTAATGAATTCCTATGGCACAAATCTGATTGGATGTGCCAGTGAATTTTAAATTCAGCATCTGTGGTTTGGCTCCTTGGATTGGTTGGGTGTTCACCAGTTTTGTGCTAAGCAGTTGCAGACTCAAGACCCTGTTTAATTTAATTCTAGGATTGGGGCTGGGAAATCTGATCGTGGATCAGCATAGGAGCTTGCAGGTTTTAAAATGCTTACATTTCCAGCTCTGCCTCTTAGACCTTTCAGAAGTTGTCGTGACCCCCACGGGTTGAGATTCTCTGCTGTGGCCATTTATCAGTATTCCGCCTGGGCTTTCTCACTGTGTATACATGTTTACTTTGAAGCCATTTGGGGAAAAAATTGCAGCAGCTTATTGTTAATGATAAATGAAGCCTAACAGTCGATAGTTAATAAAATAAAACTGTATTTGCAAGACGCCTGTTAGGTCCTCTGAAAAGTTGGGAATTAATGCGTGAACGGTGAGCCATTTTTTTCTGATGGTGCCCAACGACTAGAAATCCAATGTGAATGTGAATTACTTCTGTAATTTTTCTTTTTAATTCTGATTTAATTCAGATTGTTACCCTCTTGGGCACTGGATAAAGAATTATTATTACTTTGTCTTATTCAGCAAATGTCTTGAACTTAAATTCTAAGCATATAATAAAGGCATCACCTCCAAAATGTTTGAGAATAAGGCCTACTCAATGTACATTCTTACTCCTGGGTGAATTATTTTACGATGTGTGTATTTCTCATACCAAATGTCATCCCTTTCATAACTTCATACAAAGTCTTGCACACATATTTGCTAACAGAAACTGCTACAGTTATTTGGCATTAGTCCATGTTGAGTAGCTTGTAGCCTATATTGTCATATTTGTGGGTGGCATATAGCACGACAGGCTAAGCCTCTGTGTCTCTGAGCAGAAGGTCACTGGTTTATGCCTCGCCTCCGTGAAATAGTCACATGTTTGCGGGCACCGGGGCAAAATCCTTAATCACCAGCCGCCCGGACACTGTTACAGGTGGCCGACCTTTACTGGCAAGCCTGCTCTCAAATACATATGTGTCTGTCTCACGGAGAGCACGATGGACAGGCAAAAAGAGCATTAATAAAGGGTCATTATTATTAGACTTTTGCCTGGAATATCAATTAACCCGATTTACAGCCTGCAAACATTTCCCTATAATATAAGGTGACATGCAGATAGCAGATGCTTACCATTGACACGACAGTATTGTAGGATTAGTTTTAAGACTAATTAAATCATATAATACAACCCCTAAAAATACTAATATCCCATAACAGAAAAAGGCTTTAAAATATAAAATATCTATTACAATCTTGAAAAGTGCGTTTTAACCAATTTGCTTCAGTAAATGCTGGCACATGTGTGGGGATTGAGTGTGGCCTGTCGTCCCCCTTGCTGGGCGTTTCTGCCAGCCAACTCAATAATGTCGCACTTGCTTATGCCCTGTCATACTGTTTGTCCAATTTTCACCTGTTGCTCAACTTCCTGCACATCTTGGGTATTCATCCTGGGTATTCACTGCTTACCTCAGCTAATAAGTACTTTTGTCCACAAAAAACAGAAGTGTAGAGTACTAGCAGCATGTACGTTAAGTTAATGGTGTTTGCCTGGAACACTGACAGATATGCACATTGCTGCATGTGCATGGTTTATGACCCTGTGTGTGTGTATGTATGTATGTATGTGTGTATATATATATATATATATAATATTATATTCACACACACACACACGCACGCACATGTAGGGTAAACATATCCTTATGGGGACCGCTCATTCATTTCAATGGGAAAAATGCTAAAGCTAACTATGACAACCTTAACCCCCACCCAACCATAACCCTAGGTAACCAAACAAAATACAAGAGTTTTTGCATTTTTAGTTTTTTCATAGCAGTCACCGATTTTTATAAAATAGAGTTTTCCCTTATGGGGACCAGGAAACCGGTCCCCATAAGGGAAAAAAACCCGGATATTTATCACGTTATGGGGACATTATGTCCCCATAAGGATAGGTAAACCTGCTCGCATGCACACAATCTATTCTTTCAACTGCTTATTCTGGTTATAGTTGTGAAGGGGGGGGCTGTACCCTAATAAATATATACTATTATCTATAATGTACAATATAGCTTTGAAAGTGGTGCAGATACTGTGCATTTGCCTGGGGCTGCACATCAACAGCATATCTGCTCTCTTGTTTTTAATCTTGGAGCACATCAAAAACGCCACATCACTTCCTTGACAGTATCTACCTGTAATCTGAAAAGCTACTGCGGCTGCTTCTGCAGTCCTGCTTCACTGTGCCTCATCTGGAGCTTCCTGCAATTCTACCCCCCCCCTCCCTCCCGCTTAATGCTCATCAAAAAAAAAAAAATGCAAATGCAAATACCAGTCGCTGGTTTGCTTTAAGAAATATGGACGGAATAGTCAGTGCAAATGTATGCTGCAGCAGAGATCGAACATCTACAAAGGAGGGTCTCCGGTTTATTATTCAGGTTTTAGGTTTTTGTTTGAAGTCTCTCAAATATTAAAACTTATTTATGTGAATCAATACTCTTGAGGAAGAAATACTAAATATAAATGTAAATATGTATAAATGTCAATTAAATGATTTGTCGGGAGATGATGGTCCATTTTTTGCTAAATTGAAAGCCTTTTAATGTCATTTAACAGCTAAATTAGTGCCAATTGGAAGGGAGGCTATATCATTGCTGGAATCTCACTCTCGACTGGCTCGTGGTGAGAGACCATGCTTGGGTGTGACGATACAAAGCAAAACTCCTAGACTGTCCTCCTAGAGTATGCAGAAGGCAG